TTTATGCATTGAAATTTATTTTAACTCGTTTGGGCTTAAGAGGATCCCATTTCACCCATGTAGTTCTCTTTTGTTTACACTTCCCACCATTAACCAAGTTTATCACTTTATACTCTATTGCCTTACTAACAATACTCAGGATGGAGAGACTTATTTTTGAAGACCTTTTCATTTTTATTTTTCCATATTCTCCCTAGAATAAAGGCTAACAGATATCTATCATGTGATACGCTTCTCTGAACTGTTAAAGAGGGGTAGTTACTTGGGCCAAGCTGACAGGTAGAGGACTTGAAGTCTCACACAACCCAAATAATTGGTACATGGGCCTGTTTGGGAGGGTGAAAGATTTGATTAATAGCCGTTTTGAAGAAGCTATTAAAACCATCTTTATAGACTATAATAAAAAAAAAATTGAATGAATGACAGCATATTTAGACTTAAAGGGTTTTTCTCCAAACATAGCTTATAGGCTGTTCGTGTCAGACCCACCTCACCTGGCAAAGCTAGAAACATTGCCCAAAAGCCTTCCAAATGGGCACGCAAATTGATCCCTTTGGAAGGAGTACAAATAAAAATATTTAGAGTGCAAAACCTTACTTTGTATTATTTTGTTTGTATTTGTACTGTACATATTTGTATTTGTACTCCTTCCAAATTGAGCCATCAATGCAGTAGTATGTAATAAGCTTTGGGGTTTGATTTGAGTTTCTTAGCACTTAGGCCATGTTTGGGAGTGCTTATTTGGGTTGGAACTACACCATTAAGCACTTATTGGTGTTTGGGAAATATGCCCAAAATAAGTGCTTATTTTAAAAACAAGAGCTTATTTTTTAAGCCCAAATAACTTTTTTTAAGTGTTCATACAATAAGAACTTATTTAATTTTTTCCTCCCAGAATTGTCCTCAGTAAATTTTTAGAATACCAATTATACCCTTTCAATATTGTTACTTTTACGAAAGCATTTTCATAAAAGCACTTATATGAAAATACTTTTATAAGAGCACTTTTACGAAAGTATTTTCACGAAAATACTTTTACCAAAGTAATTTTATGAAAGTACTTTTACGAAAGCAATTCAATCAAAATACTTTTATTCATTCACTTTAGATTGGATATTTTGAAAGAAAATGAAGAACAAAAGAGTCACAAGTGCTTATTGAAGAAAAAGACTACCGAACGTCCAATATAAAATAAGTGCTTAATTTTTAAAATAAGCACTTGAAAAAACTGGATGCCAAATATAAATAAATGCTTATTCGAATATGCACTTGTTTTTAAGCATTTATTTTTAACATAAACACTCCCAAACATGGCCTTATATACTTCCAATCTCAATTTGAGTTAATGAACAAAGGTGACAATTCTGATTCCTGCAAGAAAGAAATGCATGCAAAGAAGAAATCGTTATCCATGCAGACCAAGCCTACGATTCATCAGAGATCTCAGCAGAATCAGCGAGAACAATCTTCTTTAAAAACAGAGGAACAGATGATCAGGTATAGGATGAATTGCATGACAGGCCAAACCGAGTCAAAGCATGAGCCGCCTTATTTGTCGATCTAGGGGAGAAGACTACAGAGAACTCGGGGTGATGACTTAAGATGTTCTTGCAACTGAGAAAGAGTGCAGTTACACTCCAGGGAGGGATACCATTATCCTCCAACAAGAAGTTGGTAGCACAGTCACCCTCCCACAGGATATTGCGAAGAGAAGACTTTCTAGAAAGGTGCGGGCTTTAGATTCTAGGGCAGAGCACGAGCTAGAAGGAATCACGCGAGCATAGATTAAGCTTCCACAGTGGTTTTTGATGATACAACCAGCACTGGCACGAGTGGGAGAAGTTGCACCATCAAAGTTAATTTTCACCAGGCCAACAGGAGGCTTGCTCCATTTGCAAGGGGGGAATGGGGTAGGACCACTCAAAGGTTTGTGGGGTGGGTGTGTGGGTAAATACCTACCAGGGACCCAGCAGTAAACTCCCGGGCTTTACCTATGATCATTTCAGGAGACCAAATAACCCCGCGGAAGATAGCCGCATTGCGAGCCAACCATAGGTGACAGATTAATGAGAAAGCCAATGGGTAGAAATGATGAGGAGTGGAGAGAGCAGAAGAACCCAGGGAAATCCAAGACGATATCAATTCAGGAAGATGCTCGGAAAGATCAGTTCGGACCCCCAAATCGGAGTCAAACCAAACAGCTTTCGCAATGGTCTACAGATTCCTCCTCAATTCCACAAAGCGAACAGCAAGAATCTAAGTTTGGATTCCACCTCTTTATTCTGTTTCTTATGGGAATCGCATCATTAAGGGCCCTTCCAAAGAAAGATCTTGATCTTGGGGCAGACCCATTTGAGTTTCTAAATTTTTCCCATTCACATTCATCGAATAAGAAAGTTGCATTTGAGGAAGAAGGCAATTCCGAAGCGAGTAGACGGTATGCTGAAGAGGTGGTAAATTGCCCGTGAGGAGTAAGGGACCAAACGAGTTGATCCTCCAGAGGATTTCTTGAGCAGAGTGCGGCTGAAAGAGGTGATTAATCTGCTCATGATTCCAAGACATCGAGTGGTGGTTGATAAGTTCAGCCACTTTCAAAGGATAATTTCTGTGAGACCAGCCAGAAGGATCCATAGCATTAGAGAGCCACGGATCAGAACATCGACACTCCACCCATTGCCTATAATCCAGCGGCAACCCTTGCGAAGATGAGTTCTGCAAGCAAGAATACCACGCCAGATATAGGATAGCCCCAGTTTTAGTTTTACATCCCAGAAGTTTGAGGTTCTGAAGTATTTAGCGCGAAGAACTTTTGCCCATAAGGCCGAAGGATATTTGAGTAATCTCCATCCCCATTTTCATGATGTGGGCTTTATCGGTTAACTCTAAATCGCGAAAGCCCAGCCCACCACAAGCTTTTGGTCTACAAATTTGGGACCACTTTCTAAGGTGAAAGCCAGCTGTCTCAGCATCAGACCACCAAAAATTCCTGCAAATATTATTCAGGTTTATTTTGGAAGGAGGTAGGTTTGCATATATGGAGCCACTTGAAGAGTGGACTTAATAAGCATGAATCTGCCAGCACGAGAGAGGGTGCGTTTCTTCCAACCCACCAACTTGGACTTAAGTTTAGCCTTGCCCATAATTAAGGAACCACCAAGATACTTGTCATTAGTCTTCAAAGAGGTAACTCCAAAGGCCGATGGAATAAAAGTTCTTCTTTTATGAGAGTTTGCAATGAAGTGAATAGCTGTTTTTTGGAAATTTATTTCCTGACCCGACCATTTACAGAAGGAATCAAGAACATCCAAAATATTGTTTACATCAAAAGAGCAACACCTGCCAAAAATGACAAGGTCATCCGCAAAGAGCAAGTGAGTGAGCTTATTCAATTCGTCTCATTAAAACCCTCTTAAAAGTAAACAACTCCTATATTTGATTAGACTTGGAAGAACAGCTTGATTACATGCTAATTCTTTATTGCTTGAATCCTTCTAATGTCGTATAAAATTTTGAAGTTTGAACAGATTTTCAATAATAAATGGGTCATGAGACTGCCATGTGCCCATACATGTGCAGAGCTTGACTAGTAGTTTTACTTTTACAGGAATTTCTTCATATAGTTAGATGTTAGATTGTCTTTTTGAAGTGTGGACTAGTAGAAGAATAAAAGAATGAGATGGCTATGGCTTTCCATTGCACACCTGTCTTCTCTGTTCTGTGAAGATGAATACAAAAGAGACAACCTCTTTTACTTTCCATCCTCACAAAAATATTCCACTCTCTTCCCTCAAAAAAGTCGGTTCCAACTATCAGCGGCGCAAATTTTGCTTGGGCCTTCAGTTTTGCAAAGCAGTAGTCATTCTCCCTGAACAAACCGAATCCCAAAGTTAGGATCCCCCCTGTCCTTTAGCACTTGGCAGAAACTACAACTGCAAATGGATCGGATCAAACTAGTTATACTCAGATCCAAATTTGATTTTCTTTAATGTTTTATCAAAGGTTCAAAGAGCGTATCGGCCTGTATCGGTTCTTAATTTTTATTTTTTTCGATTTTGATTTAGGAAAGTCGATTTAAGTCCCGATTACCTTCTGAACCAGGCCCTGCCCGATACAACCCCTATAGGGATATATCAGGAAGGGCCCAATACGATATATATCAACCAATACGTAACGATTTTTTAAACCTCTTTTATTAGAAACTAGTTACACCCATATCCAAATTTTGCTTTTCATTAATGTTTTATGAGTCTTGTATGTAGATTTAGGCAAAATATAAACATTTAAATATTATTGAATCGGATTGAATCATATTGCATCAGATTGGGAAAATTTCATAATTTGATCCAATTATAAATGTATTGAATTTTAGTCATCTTAAATAGATTGAGTTTGAATTCAAATTTGGACAAATGGAAACCATTTGCAGCCCTAGACGAAAGGGAGACAAGGTTGTTGTGTATGAACAGGGATGCAAATGAAGGCCACTGCAACCATTGAAATGGTCCTTTTCCTTTGCAATTCTCACTTGGTTCTTTTCCTACGATTTGAATTCAAACCCAATTAATATGTTATGACCAAATAATATTTTATTTGGAAACCATTTGTTCTTTTCCTGCTGAGAAACTCAATTTGACTGTTGGAATACGTCAAATCAAGCTGTTTTAACTTCAAGACCAAATAATATGTCATGACCAGAGGCCGAGCCCCCCCCCCCCCAAAAAAAAAAAAACAAAACAAAACCAGAAAAAGCTTTGTTTATTGGTGGGGGCTCTTCCAACTCTCAGATGTAAAAATTTTATTTATTTATTTTTCTTTAAAGAAATCTATTAAACCAAAACCTTCCCGCCCTAATTCTCTCCAAACACTACCTTTTCTCCTCCTTATCTCATTTTCTTGTTTAACTTGATCCCAACAGAAAATTCCCGAGTCAGCCGCTGCTTAAGAACACAATAAAACAATAAAAACTTATAGACCAAAAGTTTGCTAAAAATATACAAAATAATAATTACAGGAATTCGAGCTAACAAGTTTATTCCTGAGTCAGCCGCTGCTTAAGAACACAATAAAACAATAAAAACTTATAGACCAAAGTTTGCTAAAAATATACAAAATAATAATTACAGGAATTCGAGCTAACAAGTTTATTCAATGCTTGGAAACTTACAAACGTGGTTGAACGGTTGAACCCATGAAAAGACACATTACAAGATAGAACTGAGCACGTCTTCTTGTAGGCCCACCTTGTTCCCAGGGTGAATGAAATCCATGAATTAAATTAATGAGCCATTTACTAGCATCTCATGAAATTAAGATACAAGTGAATGTGGTGAGAGTTACATCTCAGTAACAGGAAGGAATGAATCATCAATCCGGCCAAATATTTTTCCCTTTCAACCGACGTTTGTGTCGACTCATATTATCAATTTATTTCTGGCTTTATGGAGTAAGCCTACTGTTTTGTAACCACCACTCTTCCCTGTTATGGTAAGCTCCTAAAACTATATTTGAATAGCACACTCAGTTTCTTAAATTATAGTAACATCATGAAACAAGCAAGAAAGCTTGCCTCTAGCATAACATCTCACTGGTCTCTTTTCATTTTGTTTTGGAGTATATATTTTCTGTACTGAACAAAAACTGTGAGCTGCACCGCTCTGGTAAAATAAAATGAAAAAATCCCTACCCCAAAAGAGGCCCCATTTCTGTGGGGAGGTTGGCAGGTTGCATTTTAGAATTGAAAAAAAAAAATACCAATTAACTATCTTCAACATATTTCTTGCAAGCTTCCCTTTGATTGATCATGTCCTCCAATTCCAGCCAGTCTACATGATTGCTCCAATATCATCCTGTAAGTAGACGACCTCTCCCATGGAACAATTCCAAAATCATCGTTGTATTCCTCCATGCCTCCAACTAGGAACTGCCAAGGAAATGCCCCTGCCCCTGCTCCATTCTTCCTTGCTGACTCATAAATGATGTCATAAACAGTTTTATACAATTTTTCACGATGAGATGGTTGGAAGTTTCTATTTGTATTTGACAGCCCAAATTCAGTGAACATTACAGGTTTCTTGAGCATTTTGTCACCGTCTTCAATGTGAGAAGTCATCCATTTGGAGACAAATTTCAGTTTGTCTTCAAGTTCAATCTCCTTGAACCTACAGATTAATTGAATTAGACACATTTTGGGATTTGATCATAAGTGGTAATATGACATCAAAGCACAAAAAGTGTTTCTTTTCAGACAGAGTTCTCAGTGCTACAATTTTCACCATGTTTGGTTTCATGGTACCTCCAATATTGCATGTGGTTTTGTGAACAATAAATTCAGAACAATGATAAGGTGTCTTTTGAAGCTTACCACTGATCAGGATAAATGTGAACAGAGGCGAAATCAATGATTGAAATCTTTGAGTTGCGGATAAAATCAGATCCTAGGACACTCGCCCATGCTTCTGGGTTCACACTCAGTTTTTCTGGGCTCCTAGGACCATAGAACCCCTCAAGCCCCACAGTCAATAGGTGGTTCTTATCAATCAATTTCACATAACGAGACATCTCTTCAATCCAATCCTGCAATTCTTCACCAGAGAATATAATCAAACTCAAGAATTCATCAATAACCTAGATTGCTAATATTTCCAGTATCTATCATCTCTCTCTCTCTCTCTGACACACACACCACACACTTACTTGGAGGGTGTCACCAGAAGGATCAGTCATACAGCGTGGTTCATTTATCAATTCCCATGCAAAGATTGTTGGATCATTCCTGTATTCAATTCCTGTGATGCTGTTCTTCCTTGTCAATACAGCCTGCAAAAGGAAGGTCATATTGAGTTGATAACAACTCCAATGCAATGCAATATTTTGTATTTCAATAATACTGTGAAGACTTCCATGGATTAAGTCTGAAATTAAACTTCCAAAATGGTAGTAACTTAACCAAAAGCAAATGAGACAGTGGATTTCACTATGCTTTTCTGGCCATGACATGTTACCTGATCACGAGGAATGAATCTTGTGCTCAGTAGAAGATAAGGTCCTTTAAGCCTGTCCTCATGCACACTTACATACTAATTATATGCAGTTTCTCTATAAGCGGATACCCTTTGTTTTCATAGGCCATGATTCATTGATACTTCTGCTTATTTAGACATTCAAGTTGGGTTAACAGGTTCACTTTCATGGTTGAGGATCAATAGCTTTAAGTGCTAAGCTAAAATCAACATGTTTTTCTCTCTTTTTTTTTCGATCAGTTAAGATGTTCTTGGTTCTGGGCAATTTAGCCAAACTTGATCAAATTTTTTAGGAATAATTCAAACCATGCTTTAGCTTCTCTGAAAAGAGAATTAAGACAAAGTTCATTTTTTAGATAAATATACAAAATTCCTCATTGACATACAAATTATCTACAAATAACACCACAATCATACCTTGACATAATTCTTGAAATATTTGCGAATTGATGGATCAAAAAAGAATGAATCATTGGAAGAACTCAAAGCAACACCCTCTTCCCACGCCCATTTGACATACTGAGTCTTCCCACCAAATGCTTGCAAATTATTAACTAAGCTAAGTATCAGCTTGATCCCATGTCGTCTTGCCTCTGCGATGACACGATCCAATGCCTGCCAGTCTATATGGTTATTAAATGTAAAAAGGACAAAAGAGCCAATATAATATAGTGTAATAGCAATGGTACCACCATGGTAACTGCAGACTATGAATACATTACATACACAACAATTACCATTTACATTTTTTATTGAATGCATGAAGCAAAAATAAACAGGTTAGAAAAAGACAATTAACATCATGACTAAGAAGAATCTCAAGGCACTGAAACAGAGGTAATAATTCAAAGAATAATCAATTGATTTTTTGGAGCCGAAACCTGTCTCTAAAATTTAGATTCTTTTAGGCCTCTGGCCCTCTATGCAATTAAAGTGGGAATGGGCCATTTTTTTCTCCAAAAATTGGTTCCCGAACAAATATTCTTTCCATTTCTTACAAGTTTGTTTCTTAACAAACAGATTAGAATAAAAAGAAAATAGAAGAGGCCAATACCCAAAATTCTATTCTCCTGAGTGTCAGCATATGCTTTTCTGTTCATTTAAACAATTTCGTTGGAAAAAAAGTTTATCTGCTGATCACTCTATCACGATACCCAATGGGCAACGGATTAGGTAAGTAAATAAAAAGATACATGAAAAATCGGTTCCTTTTAAAATTTAAGCCCAGTTTTTAAACTAGTAGACGAATAAATAATCAATTGTATATTTGTGATCAGATTTTCCTGGCTATAACAACACTAAATTCTACCCAGGAAGAAAAAAGTTTCAGATCCCGCCACACATTCATGCTTCCCTGTAAGGAGTGGTAGCATAATTCCTGCACAAGCGAAAAATATAAGGAAAGCAAGAACCAGATACGAATTTATGTAATACCTTGAAGACGCGCTCTTCAAATCGTCCAGGGGAGATCTGCAGTGCATTGTATGCTCCATCATTGAAAGCCCAAGTCCTACAAACAGTGAGACCCATCTTTGCACCCGCTTGAAGCATAGCCCTGACTCTGGGCCTGCTGAAATCCTCTACAGCCTGATCCATCAGCCAGTAAGAGTTCCAGCCGTTCACATAGAACGGTCTTCCATCTAAAATGAAATGAGTGCCATTCCTCTCGACAAAGGCCACCTTGGGTTCTTCATAATAATTGAGTCTCAGATCTCCCAAAGACATGTAAATAAATGCGACACATGATGCGAAACCAAGAAGTGGGTATAAAAAGCCATTACCCGCCACCATTCTCCCTACAATATTGAACCCCTAAAATTAGCGGAGACAGTGTTATCTCCTCTGAGATCTAAACCAGGTAGATCTCAGCACAAGAAGAAGAAGAAAAGAAACAAATTTTTAGCGTCCTAGATTCCTCAACTCATCAAATTCATGGTACCCAAACGGAAACAGCGACCCATGTAACCTCTTTGGATGGCAACACCAAATGGGGCGTTTAGAGGATCTAGGAAGCTACCCAAAATCCAAAACATATCCAGAACGAACTCAAAATCTCAGACGCTTGTACCCAACAAGTTTGCCCATATGTCTACGATAATTGAACTAGAAGAGAACTCAAGCAGAGAGAGAGAGAGAGATTGTTCTGTGAGTTATTGTCCTGATTTTGGGGTTTTATACGAAAGTACTGGTTTGAGAAAGATTATGAGAGAAGGGAAGGGTCAAAACAAATGAGAGAGCACACCTACTTTCCCACTCTGCGATGCCATCGACCCAAAGAAGAATAGATAGACGGTAGTAGTGTGTGGTAGAATGTAGGTATCAACTCGGCTCACTGGGCCCTATGATCATAGATCTTTCCTTCATTTAGTAAAAGAAAAAAGAAAACAATCAAACGAAAGACCCATTTTTCCATTGAAGCATCACCTTCCCGTCTCATGACTTCTCAAGCCATTCCGCCATCAGAGCCATTATCTACGATCCACAGCTTCCGCGTCCCGCCCATGTGAATCTGAGGAGGAGAAAAGTAAGCTGTAGTTTTCCTCTAAGAAGTAACTCCAAAGTTTCTCAACAAACAATTGCCGTCTGCATCTTTTTTCCCAGGTTGGTACTTAAGAAGGGAAAGGGTAGGTGCCAGTTTCCAGACAATGTGTTTTGATTCACTGGGGTGACATCACTGCATCTTTCGTTTGCCACAAAAGAAGGGAAAACAAAAAGCTGCCCTCAGGTGAGATGTCGTTTTGCAACATCTGATTAGAATCCACATACGTACTCAATCATCTCATCTGATGGTTAAAGGGCAACTCCTTATATCTAGGGACTCTGGTAATGGGCTCGGCCCAAATGTCAATATAAATTTTTGTAGGGTAAATTACAGATTACTACCATGTTATTTGGGGAGTGACAATTACCCCCTTTACTTTCATTTAAAACAAAGATGAAAGACCCCTTTAATTTTCAGATTCCGGGCAGACGTCCCTCTATTATCATTCCATCAATTAAATTTCAAAAAAGATTTTTGTGTGACTTTTAACTATTTTAAATCTTCAAATTACCCTTTGTTGGGGTTCATTTTAGCCTTTTTTTTTATTTCCATTTGTTATTGGTTTAATTGGTATTAATTGCATGTTATGTTTATTGCAATTCCAGGTTTTTATAGAAATTTTTTTTTGTTGCAATTTCCATTTTATAAAAATTTTCGAGTGGGTATTTTGATAAATTTACTTCTTCTACCATTCAACTTAAAGGAGAGGGGTTTTTTTGACAGAATCTGAAAGATTAGGAGGTCTTTGTTGCAAATGAAAGTTCAGGGAAAACCCTAAAATACATGGCACTAATCTATAATTTACCCTTTTTTATTTAAATCAGGGGTTTCTAATATGTGATATTAAACAATCTTTTGAATATTTTTAGCTATAGTGATTTAGTTTGCACTTTACTATCTAACGATAGATATGATAGTAATACAATTGATTTGGTTAGAAAACTAACTAGATTTGAATTGGAATTAGAATACTTTTTTCTAAGAAATATGTATTTTTTTATTTTAATTTAAAATCATGTTAACTATTCCTCTTGAAGGAGATGGCTCTCTGTGACTGTGTGAAAGATTTTTTTTTTTTTTAATTTGGATTCTTCAACTATATTTTATTTTGAATTAAAAAACTTTTTTCAACTCCCCTATCAAACTTATGCTCAATTAGGAAATTATATTGGCCTTGATTTGGGCTGATTTTATTTAACCAATATACATGTGGGTTTTGAATTTGTTTTGTAACCTATAATATTAAACTTGCTTTTAATAATTGGGGGCCCATTTCGGGGGTGCAAATGGGTTATTTAATTTAGAAAATTTCAACTTACAATGGGTCGGATTCAGGCTCAGGCCCATTTTTTATTAACTTTTCAATTCAATCCAACCCAAAGTTGCACCTCTTTCCCGTACAAAATTTTTATTTGAGTGAAGGCAAAACAACATTAGAAATTTATTTTGTTTTGGGTTAGAAGAGATTTGAAAAGAGGGGATTACTATGAGATGGGTTGAAAATGTTTTTTTATATGAAGTAGAATCTAATATTTTAAAGAAACACATTTTCTGAGAAGCCTTCCCATCTCTGATTGTTCATGTCTGTACCATGGAATGAAACTTAACCTCAGCAATAAATACTTTGTATATTTGACAAGGATATAATAAATGAGAATTCCGTATTTAAATATAGTATTTATGAGTTTTTATTAGTTTAATTTGGCTCCTTCAATAAAAGATGCAATCATACCAGTCCACTCATAAATGCAATTAACTGAATTGGGATTTACTCCTCACACCGACCTCACAATCGCATCTGTGCCCCACAAACGCCCTATATGTACATTTTAGCATGCATTAGGAATATCTTTTAGAGTTGTCAGTCGGAGATGTTTCTAATATAGGGTTAAGATATGCTGTGGAGCGTTTGTGGGTTCTTTGTGAGAAATATCTTCTCATAAGAAATAATATATAAATATAGAAGATGTTTCTGATATGCGATGGAAACATATCGTAAGATTGTTGTGAGGAGCAGATTCGGATTCATAATTAACTTAACTTGACCATCAATTTACAAAGAGAAAGAAACAAAAAAAAAAAAAAGAATTCTATTAAGGCGGGGGGTTAGTAAATCCACATGGAGTGTGTGACTATAAAAGGGAAGCTTTACTGCAAATCCCTAACAATTGTCATAAAAAAACAATCAAGCCTTAAATACAATATTTGATCACTAACAACCTAGTAACTAACTCATATGATCACTCAGCATCACTTTAAACAAGGAGCTGCAGGCCCCACAGAACGTGCCTCTACAGCACATCTCCGGGGAGATGTTCTCAATGTATGATTGGGATATACTGCAGGGCACGTTCCCTGTGGAGTTGATGCAATTTTGGAACTGCAGGCTTTTTTGTAGCCTAAATCTGCTGCAACAAAAATTCTTACACCACACATCTCATACACGGTAGGTCCCAATTTTATGATGAATCTCATGTGGGATCATGTTGGTAAGGTGTTGGAACATGCTATTGTTGGTAGGAAATCCCAACTCATTTCTCTTATATGTTCAATAATAAGCCTTCACTATGTTTTTTCTTCTAGCAAAGCTCACAAGCAAAAAAGTCTATAGCCATGAGCCAATAAGAAGTCCATAGTCAGTAATCTGATACATAATATCATCCAATGGAGCCGATTTTTGGGATTGCTTTTTCAACTTATTATCAATAAAATAAAACAATGAATTGAACTATATGGTTCCTCATTATTTTGAATTATAAAGGAAAAATAATAAATAAAAATAATGTTATAAGGATACGTTTGGTTTGGTGTCTGATAATGATGGAGCCTACCAGAAAAAAATAATGAGCCGTGGAGGTCGTAATAAAAAATAAATAAATAAAGAAAAAAAAGTTATGCTTTGTTTGTCATCGAAGAAGTCAGGGAGTTCATCAAATGGAGGAAATCTGTCTACCTTCAATCATTGATAAATGATCTTTCCTATCAAAATTCATGGGTCCCCCTAAAATGTACAACAGATCTTAATATAATAATTTTTTATTTTAGATTATAATAACAAAATATTAAAAATTTTTAATTGATTTAATGATATTGTAACTCAGAAGGGGCCCAGTGTTTTTCTTTTTGTCATTTGATTGGGATCCATCCGACACCAAACATTGCCTTTTATTGCCATAATCATGAACCGATGTACTACTGGTTAGATTGTGCTGAGCCAAAGACACTAGCTGTGTCTGTGTGAATGTGGCTTACTTGGGAGATGGGTTTAGAATCAGGCTTTCCAATGCTTAAGAATCCAACCTGTAACTCATCTCTCATTCAATCACAATTATTTTTCAATTTATTGTTTTATTTGAAATTTTTAATTTTCTTAGTTAAGGATTAAAATATCGATAAACATTGATACTATAGATCAATACTTTTTTTTTTCTCTAATTTTATTTTATCAGCCTGAATAATTCTCAAACAGGCTTAGGGGGATGCTTTCTATCATCTCGAATCCTATGTCTTTCAATGTATTCAGGTCCTTGGATATAGATATGATACAAGACATATTATATTGATATTTTGTACCTGTTCATGGAATAGGCTTTGGGCCCAATTTTATACTATTTCAGGTTTGGGCTTTAGACGGATTCATTCAAATTTTGACAAAAAGCAAACTCAAACTCGATCCATAAGCAAGTCTAATTAGGAGGCAAGGGCTCAGGAAGTAAGGTTGCTTTCTGGGTGATCTGGTTGTAGTGCAGATGGATTCTTGCCTTCAGCTTGGTTGGGGGACCATGGCTAATGGGTTTGTGGGACGTTCTATCCCAGTTGTAAAGTCCCCACTGAATTAAAAAAAGAAAAGAAAAGAGGCATGAACCCGGAGCTTATGTTCCACACTCTTTTTATTTATTTTATTTTATTATTTTTTTTTTTGGTTTGTCGGTAGGAGATTTTATCATTGTACCAAATATTGGCCTCTTAAATCGGAAAAAGAAAAAAAAATGCCAAATCCATAAATTTGTGATTTGTAGGTTGGTAAGTGAGCCAACTTAGTTAAATTTGATTAAATATCAAATTATTCACATCAAGGCACCAGTTCGTTTAAGTTGGAAGGTTATTTTGTCTCCATCTTCCAAGGTTGTTTAGCGGGTGTAATTTAATTGATGTGGCAATTGTTTTTATTGTTAAGGCTCAATATTTTGTATGTATTTGTATTTATATTCTTTTTATTTTCAAATTAATACTTAATCTAATTTGTTAATTCTATTAATAGTATTTGATGTTAAATAGAAAATAAATAAATAACTGGGTCGTGGTATACGTAAAGTTAAGGTTATTAAATCCATGGTTTTTAAAACTGACCCGTTGACCAAAAACGGTTCAACCGTTCGAACCAAACGCTTGGCCTGTTCTAACAAAAAATTCAAAAAAAATTATCAAAACCATTCAAACGGTTCAAATGGTTAACCGCCCGGTTCAGTGGTTCGCTGACCAAAATCAACGGTTTTGGGGGGAAATCCAGTTTTTGGGAAAAACGGAACCGATCACCTGACTACTTCCCAGTTTTTCCAGTCCGACCGTTCAGTCCGATCCGGTTTTGAAAACCATGATCAGATCTTTCCAACAGTATAGGAATATGGGGAATCTTCTTTATATGTTATGGAAAAATTATTATTATATATAGCAAGTAAAAGAATGGGCCATTGATTGGAAATCTGGATCTGCTCCTCGGCCACACGGATCCCACATCAGTTGAAGCCATGCCCATGAATGATGAGTTCATATTGGCTCCCCACAAGGCGCATCCTACATGCGCCCCACATGCACATCTCAGTGTGCATTGGGAATTCCGAGTGCACGGTTAGGATGTATATGGAGCACACTGTGTGGAGCAAATGCAAATTCATGAATGATAACATAAAAGTATTGGAGATGTTTTCGATGTATAACTACAATTGTTATGTTGTTATGGCTGTATTTGTTATCTGTGTAAATACAAAAATACACCAATGTAAATGAAAAACGGCCAGATGTATCATCACAAAAGTTGAACCGGTCAATGTTTAGTTTTACACTGTTGTGCGTTTGGAAGATGAGTG